CCTCCTGGAGAGAAACCCCTCGTTGACTAGATTATAGGATGCATTCCTCTGTCAATGCTCACATTTGAGGATCAAAGTATTTCCCATAGATCTTTGTTTTGATTTAGGGTTGGGAATGTGGAGCTTTCTGTGGCTCATACAAAGTGCCGTCTTGGCGCGGGGCAACGAAGAAATTTTTATCCTGGATTTGATGAAATCTCCACTGCAAGACCACCAAAATAGGTTCAGCTTGACATCAGTTCAGCTCTTCCTCAATCTCCGAATACTTTAGAGAGGAGATTTGCCAAAATAAACCGACCGACCTGGATAATACAGGTCATAACAGTACAAAATGAACCCCCTGCGGTATCTGGCCCCTCCCCGACCCTTTGGGGACATCTCAAACTCCACCCAGGAGGAGATCGAGGGGAGAGAGTTATTTGCGAGTTGTCTCTTAAATCATTCACACATGAGCATGTCAGATTCAGACAGAGATGCCATCCGCGCATACAGAGATGCATGCCGCCGTCTTGATATCGGGGACAGCCAGACGCGCGAAAGCGACATGCAAGCCGTTAGAGAATACGAGCAATCGCTACAAACCAACGGGCCAGCGAATCTTTGTTTTGATCTGGCTACCAGGACCAAGATGGGTGAGGAACTCGATAATCTCTATGATATGTGGAGCTATGTCCGTTATGAAAAGTACCTCCCCGCCACGGTCAAGGAAGATGCGGAGAAGCATCCCTCGGCTAAAGTCTCGGATCCCTGGCACAAGGCCTTCTGGAAGCCATTCTATGGACGCCTCGAAGCCGAGGCAGACGCGTGGGCTCAAGTCATGTCGGGCAAGAACCACCTCAACGAATGCCCAACTTACCTTCTGCTGGCCCTGTTGTGTGAGCAGCAAACCATGGACTGGGATGAAACAGTCGCGCTGATCAGATACTGCGCTGTGGAGGGTGTCGAACTCCCGAAAGCAGATTTTGTGGATTACTTGAAGGCCAAAGATGTGGCTGGTCTCGCGAAGAGGCTGGAACTCGATGAAAACACCATCGCCTTGTCCACAGAGTATGTCATGGGCGTTGGCACGATGCTCCTCGCGTACTTCAGGATGCATCTTCCTGAAGCGCTGTACGAGTGTGAAGAGGATCTTGACCCGGAAAGATGGGTTCCTAAGAAGCGATTGGACGATTTGATGGCGCTCCAGGACGGACACGAGCAAGCGATCCAGGAGTTAATACGGGAGATCTTCTATGAGATGGTCCTCGGTGGATCTGATGATGATGACGAGGAGGGTTGGGACGATGATGATGATACGGATGAGGACGATATCATGGATGAGGCTGATTGATGGTGATGTTGACGTTTCTGCCTTGATGCCCGCCCGGCGTGGTTGTTATTGTCCTAATGGTTACAACGACAACCTACAGGGTTTTAATAGGGAGGCTGCGGAATATCAATGGGATCTGTCGGACTCGGAATGATTATGGGCGGTTCATTTCTTTCAAAACTTTTCCTTATTTTCATGATTCCATGTCGTCTTCTAAGACCCTACGCAAGATGAAACCATGTCTGATACCCTCTGTTTAGAAAAAAGTCTTCAGTTGCGCAATCCCAAAACACCAATATTCTATGTGGCACTTCTTGTGCATCGTCAGTTGTCGGTACTACGCTGTAAATCGAACTCGCTACCACTGAGACAAGTGCGGCATATTTCCAATCCCCTAATGTTGGCGGGGAACGAATTGGGTCTGGTGTCCCGCTAAATATCCCGGCACTTTTCCTGTCAGTTGTCAGACTGCAATCTGAATCTACTCAAAGCAACCTCTCATCCATTCATTAGTCTAACGCAAAGGACAGTCTAAATTTCTCATCAGAATGGCTGTCCTACCTCAGCAGAACATCCGAGTGTCTATCCCAGAACCCCTGTCACCCATCATCACCCCTAGACTGTATCTTCGACCCCTCGTGGACTCTGATGCGGAGGGCTTATTCGCCATCCGATCACGACCCGAAGTTGCTAGAACAAAGTGTGTACCCGCTTGTTGATCTCGTTCCCCGAGCAAGACACTGACACCGACCGTAAGCTACCCCAAAGTCCCTCATCGAACTGTCCAAGAGACACGGGAATGGATGGCCACGAAGATCTTTACCGCGGGCCCTGAGAGTGTCCTCGGTCGTCATTTTACTTACGTGCTCATTGAACGCGAACTATTGGAAAACGAGGCTCAGCCACCAGCCGCCGACAAACAGGTGATTGGCTACATGTGTATCAATCAAGTTTTTCCCAGCCCTGAGATTGGGTATTCCATTCATCCTGATTACTGGGGCAAGGGGTATGCGACGGAAGCTTTGTATGGACTGCTGAAAACATGGTGGAGTTTACCTCGTCAGCCTCAATTGAATTCTGCAGAAGACGGAAGTGACCCGACTGAAAAAGTTTTTGCCTTTTGCGAGAGTAATAACGCAGGCTCGAGCAGGGTATTGAGCAAATGTGGATTCAGGGTGATTAAGCAGGTGGTGTATGACGAGGATGAATTGTTGCTGTGGGAGTTAGAAAGACCAGCACATAACCACACATGCCCCTGACGTATATCGGTCAAGGATCTCTGATCCCAAAGATATTAAAAATATTCAACGCAATTTCAAAGTCAGAAACATATTATCATCACTGCTCTTATAGTACCCAAAAGGCCCGCAGACCTCAAACCCCATCCCCAGATACAACCACCGAGCGCCGTCAAACTTCCCGTCAGTCCCCGTCTCCAGACTCAACGAGTGGTACTTCCTCTCCCTCGCTTCGGCAATGATATGCTTCAAAATAGCCTTGGCAACGCCTTTCCGCAAGTGCCCCTGCGCTGTCCGCATTGATTTGATCTCTCCATGAGTCGGACTGAGCTGCTTTAACGCCCCGCAGCCTAATAGACTGTCGCCCTCCCAGGCAGTATACAAAGTAATTGACGGGTTCCGGAAAGCGGTTAGGTCCAGCGCAAACGATGTCTCAGGGCGACCTTGGCTTCGAAGCTCAGTGAAGTGATGCTGGAGTAGATGCTGGACCTCTGGATAGTCAAGAGTATCGGATCTGATGAGCATCGTTGTCATTTCAACCCGTGCTATGTAATCTTTGGAAGCGATTTGCTGCTATGATGGATGTAGATGGTAGTCAATGGTTCTGGCTGTGGCAAATTGCCATGATCTAGATAGATGTGTGCAGAAATCAGGTTAAATCAGACTGATCTATAGAATTCACAGTTTTGGAGTGTCAGGAGATACTGGCATGTCTTCAATCTTTTGGCCCTTTCTTCCGGTCCTTATCTATGAGTCACCAAATTGACAAATACGAGCACCCCTTGAATTCAATGATTGCTGTCCCAAAGAAGCCAAAGCTCCTGGGCTGCCTACGCGGACTAACCTGACGAACGAATCTATCTCTCTATAACGTTCCTAGAAGAAATAGTCGGATGCTGTCTGATAGCAGTTGACAAGGATCTAACTTAACGGGCTCATGGAAATACAGGCCATGTCCAGTATCGCAATCAGATATCAAGAACACGAAAGCCTAATTTTATCTCATTAAAATAGCCGACTCAGGCATATGAGAGATTTCCAGGCATTATTGGATAGTAAAGCCGCATCAACTCTGATATCCGCACCATTAACCATGCCGCTCGAATCCTATACCCTCAATCAGCATCACGTCACTCACAATTTCTATGAGAGACCAACCTGACAAAGAAAGACAACGGCATTCGCAACCTCCTCAGGAAGCGCAAACCTGCCAGTGGGAATAGTCTTCAAAAAACCCTCCCGCACTGACTCTTCCCCCCAAGCCTTCTTCCCGAGAGCCGTCCACGCCACTGTTGGGGATACCGAGTTGGCAGTGATACCTCGTCCTCCCCATTCCGACGCCATACTGCGAGTCAATCCTAGCAACGCAGCCTTGGAAGCACAGTATGCCCCATGTCGCGGTAGTGCCACATGCGCAGCTTGCGATGCAATGTTGACAATGCGGCCGGGTGGGGAGGGGTTCGCGGATGATTCTGCAGACTTAGAGGCGGCAAAGTAGAGTCGCGCGAACGCCTACGAGCAGAGCATTGGTCCAAGGACGTTGGTAGTCAAATGTTTCATGGTCTCCTCTGGCGGAGTCACCTCCATGTCACTGAGCGAGACATATCCGGCGGTGTTGATGAGGATGCTCGGGAAGCCCCCGTTGCTGTGGGTTGTTGATGGTCTGATTGTTTCCCGCTCCAGGGCGCTAAAGGCAGACTCAACTGATGCTGGGGAGGTAATATCGCATTCATAGGTACGAATTGCGTCGCTGGAAACTCCTCCATAGCCGGATCTGAGGAGCTCGTCTCGACGGGCAGCTTCGAACGGGGCATAGAGGATAGCCAGGCGAGCGCCTTGTTCTCTGAGCTTCTTGCCTATGCTGGAGCTTATCCCACCTACACACCATATTCGCGTTGATATGCGTTGTTTTGGTTATCGAAGTGTCTGTCAGTGTACCTAGACCTCCGGGGAGGATAGCTGATCTGCGAGCGAAAGCCATTGTGGCCAGTATATGGTGCGGACTTGTCAGTCTTAGTACACGCGTCGTCTAAAGGGATTGATTGAATTAACTTTTAATCTTCCATCGGAGTTTTAACTTCTTCCCCCAGCCATCGATGGTGACTCTTAGGCAATGAGCAGCATGCTGGGTCGGCTCATCCCCGATATGACGTCAGGCCTCGGCGAAGCCCTAATACCGTTTAGAATACAGGGGTAAATGAGAGACAAAATGCTCGCAAAGTATACGAGTTGGGCCCGTTCGCTACAGCTTAATTGATAATCAACCCCACAACCGCGGCTTTCCTGGTTGTAGCTACTGCTGACTCACAAGCGGGGTAAAGCACTATCATTTCAGGTGGCCACTGTACACTCAAAATACCCCAGACATAACGCTTGGTATTAGTGGCAGAAAGTCACTGAACAGCACTGACTATGCCATCAAAGGCCCGCGTACTCTTAGTCGGAACTGGAGGAATTGGTACCATTGCGGCACTCAATCTTGAGCGTGGAGGGTTAGCCGAAGTCACCTGTGTCCTGCGGTCTAACTATGAAGCGGTGGTAAGCCAGGGAATTGAAATTATCTCATGCGAGCACGGTCATATAAAAAACTGGCGGCCGACTGCAGGTTTGCGCTCCTCTTTTCCGGAATGGTATGGCGTGGCTGACAGAGCACTCCAGTTCTAAAAGCGGTTCCTCTCGTCCGTAATGAGGACAGCAGTACCTTCTTCGACTACATAGTCTGCACCACCAAGAACATCCCAGACGTCAGACCCTCTATATGCGAGACTATCGCCCCCGCAGTGACGCCAGGCCATACAGTGATTGTTCTCATTCAGAATGGATTGAACATCGAAAAGCCATTCCTGTCTCATTTCCCGCAGAATATCATTCTCTCAGGCGTGAGCCGATGCGACGCTCACGAAATCGCTTATGGAGTGATCGAACAGAAAGAGGAAGATGACCTCCATATTGCCGCTTTTCGCAACCCGCTTCTCGACCAAGATACCCAACAAAAGGCCGCACAGCAATTTGTGCATATCTATGGCGCGGGAGGCAAGACCAACGTGCGACATGAGCCAAACTGGGAAAGAGATCGCTGGAGCAAGCTGGTGTACAATGCCACATTGAATCCAATCTGCGCGCTGACGGGGGTGAATACGGGAGATTTACAGTTCGCGGGGAGTGCTCTTGATCGCTTGGTTATTCCTGCTATGCAGGAGGTAGTGGGAGTATCCAAGGCTGTGGGGGTTGAACTACCAGCCGATATCATAGAGACAACGATTCGTAAGAATCCGATGGAGAGGAAGATCGCTCCTAGCATGCAAAAAGATATGGAAAAGGTATGTTCTCACTCGTTCCCTTATTAACTTGAAGACTCACAATCGTAGGGCAATCTACTTGAGCACGAGAATCTCATTGGCGAGGTGGTTCGCGAGGCACAGAAACGAGGCGTGCCCACTCCTATCTTGTCTGTTCTGTACGAGCTCTGCTCCGCTATTCAGTGGAGAGTTGCCAAGGAGCGAGGCACTAGAATACCATAGACTCTATATTTTCTTACTTGCATAATTGAGACAGAAATCTGCAGCCATATCCAAATGGGGGAGAGTTTATTTTAGCGTGGACCTTGCGGAGACTAGCTGCATTAGGACAGCACTACCAAAATGCCAAGCATGAGTCATTTTGGCTCATCATGATCCATGATGATCCGTGATGATCCGTGTATTGATACAAGTTATGCTAGCATGTTCAGGAATTAATCAAGAATGGAAAAAGAAGGTCGAAGTCTTGTATATAAATATTGTAGACTCTGCAGACTTTGCACCATCATCAACCCAAATCACACCATCTCGTCTTCTATTGGTCATTGAAGCTGGTTCTTCTAGTTCAGCCCGTCAAAATACATCTACTACAGAGTACACAGTCCACATCTTATCAGATCGCCATAATGGAGTCTAATTCCAAGCCTACCATTCTCTTCTACGATATTGCCTCGGCTCCCCCAGTCACTTGCTATGCGCCCAACCCCTGGAAAACAAGGTACGTCACATTCATTGACGAGAAGCACATAAACTAAGACGCAACAGATACGCCCTCAACTTTAAACAAGCCCACTATCAAACAGAATGGGTAGAACTGCCCGACGTACCCACCGTGCGCAAAAGATTCGGCCTGGCAGCCAACAGAGTGCTCCCCGACGGCAGTCCCTTTTACACCCTTCCAATCATCAAAAACGAATCAAGTGGCGAACTTGTGGGTGATTCATTTGAGATTGCGCAGTACCTTGACAGACTCTACCCCGAGGGGCCGAGATTACTCCCTCCTTCGACTGTGGGCCTGATTTCCGCGTTCAATTCCCAGGTCGATGCTGTCTTCACCCAGCATTGCGTGCTCTGTGTCCAGGGGATGCCGTACAATCCTGCGACAGCGGAGGAGTCAAAAGCTACATTCGCCAAGCGAGCGGGCAAGGAGCGCTATGAGGATCTGATGATCACAGGCGAGGCGAGGGCGAGCATGCTCGAGAGCTTCCAGAATGCGCTGGGAGAGCTAGCAAAGGCGTACCGACGGACGGAGGGCCCGTTTCTGGAGGGTGATACGCCTACATATGCCGATTTTATTGTAGGTAGCTGGTTGAAGTTTTACAAGAAGACGATAGAGGAGTGGGAGCAGCTGTTCAGTTGGCATGATGGGTTATGGGGGGAGTTACATCGTGCGTTGGAAAAGTATGCAGAGGTCAAATAGGTATTCAAATGTCTATATCGGATTCATAGCTTCATCATCGCTTCGTCCAAAATTAGACTGCATTAGTGATGTCTGGGTGGAAGAGGAGGAGCAGGAGGCTCGGGATGGTCTGGCGCGGTAGCAATGACTGGCTGTTGCTGCTGCTCAGGATGGTCAGGATGGTCGTCATCGGGAATCCCCTGGAACATCAGTTAGTCGTATGAAGTGCACGAGGTCGCGGTCAGCTTACATTCAGCAGATACTCCACGGCGCGATCGGGGTTGAAGGACGCCGCTCTCATGGCCCGATCGATATCGATTCTAGCAAATCCCATGCTCTCCATCTGCGCAACGAGTGCCTCCTCGCTCTGGACGCCATCTAAGTGTACTGAACGGTCGTTGAAGGTAGCAGGCGTTTCAGTAGCCGTCTGGGCTGGAGCGGCCAATGCGCCGTGTGCCATCAGATTCGAATTTGCCAGATCCTCCGGCGCGAAATCGCTTGGACTCGGTCCTGTCGGTATGGCAACACCAGATGGAGTCTGATCGAACTGCTTGTCGCCCTGCGCCGAATGAAGAGTATGCGTCAACATGCGGACAGACGCATTCTCCGTCCGGACGTGACCAGCAATGATCTCCTTGACAGGCACCTTGCGACCATAAAACCGCTCGTTCTCGTCGTTGCGCTCAATGAGAATTGTCCCGTCAATCTGCGCCCCGGCATAGAAGCCGCGACTCTTGACGTACGACCAGATGGGAGCCTGTCGTTTGTGCACCTCCGACTCCAGCACCCCTCCCATGCCCACCGGCCCAGCCGCGACAGAGATCTCGCTTCCCAGCGTCACTCGTACTTTGGTGAACGCTTCCAGCGCCTCATACGTATTGATCACCATGACGCAGTCGTAGATGTCTATGCCAGCCAGGAAACCCAGGCCAGCGGTATGCAGCAGTATCCCCGACGGCGCACTCCATTCCCCGGTCTTGGGCACGCGAGCGATGAGGATTCCACTCCCACCAGCACCGCTGAACCACAGTCCCGTCCTCATGGCTGTGAAGATGGCAATCCCCTTCGCCTGGCGGATCACCTCCGCAGGAATCTTCTGCAGCACCTTGGGATTACCCCGTGGTTTGTCGATCTTCGCGTCGGGTGTCTGTTCCCGGCTTGCTACGGTCGCATCCTCGGCAACGTATACCCCCTCCTTGCAGAAACTGCGCAGGATCCGAGCGGCCTTTTCACTTTCTTTGTCCAGCGTCATGGGCCAGAAGGCTTCGGAGCCGAGTTTGTTGCTTAGCCGGTTCACGGGGGCGCCGACTTTATCGAGGGCGTCCCAGGCTTTGTCGAAGCCCTTTTTGCCGTAGATCCATGCTTTGTTTTGAGTTAGGGACTTTTTGCTCCCGGGGCTTGAAGGAGATAGGGATGTAGTATTAGTATTATCTGCTGTCGAGGACATTTTGAGCTGGGCTGGTTTCTTGTACAGTGTTGATATTTTTTGCCCAGGGAATGGACAATTATATAGAGTGACGCACCAGGCAGAAAGATAAAGCCATCGACATCATCAGCAGCTTCTTAGAACAGACATAGCTGTGATAGCAGACAAGCAATAATAAGCGTGGCAAGCCAACCCACTTGCCCCAATGATGCGTGATGATTCGGTGCACGATGCTATGGCTGTGCTGGCGATCGCGGGGCATCGCCTCAATACGTGGGTTTCAGGCAGACGGGAAATAAATAGATCACCTAGTCAACTACCCAGTCACTGTCATTCCTTTATCCAACTAGTTCAAGGCAATGATATAAACTTCCTTGCTGATGATGATGCGTCTACTACCGTGATATATAAATAGCCCACATCTTAAGAACAGACTGCTGTTGCCTCTTGGTCTTACGTACGGATTGGGCTAGTGTTTACATATAGATTCTCTTCATTGTATAAACCACCTTTCTAACCCACATCGACAAAAGGTTTTATTGCCAAAAATGAAAAAGTATATATAATGCTCGCATTCGGGTTCGAACGAGGTCTCATCATAAGTAAACAAGGAAAAAGGAAAAAGAAAAAGAAATGCTCACAAGCGGATTTGAACCGCTGACCTCATGATTACTAGTCATGCGCTCTACCAACTGAGCTATGCGAGCTCGTTGAGGAAAACAATCAATATTATTGATCTATAAGCCACAAACAAACGAAAGCCAGGGATGTTGGTACCATGAAGAGTCCGTGTCAAAACAATGGGGCATGGCATGGTCCTTGTACTCGTATGTCTATTTGAAACGGACTACTCTGCTGTATATTCTCCGTACTGGCTATATATGGTCTTTGTCCGAATATGCCGTTCCGCCCTATCCGAATATGCCAGCCATGTGTGATCATGATGAGTGATATCCTGCCAAATCATGGCACTGCTGGAATATCGTGTCTCTAATATTTGATCCATGATCGTTTTTCGATGAGCAGAGTATGTCTGGCAGGTGTTTTAGAACACGCACACTTCAACTGAGACAGTTGCTTAATAGTTCCCACATCGCGGAATAACAGTCCACAAGTGTAGTAGAATAAGGACTCGAAGACTGGAACGCCAGTCGGCATTGGTGTGAAAATGAGTACGGAACATGAGTACTCCGTACGAAACGAGGAATTTCCGTGTCTCCCGCCTGTCGATTCTGAGCTTAAAGAAGCCAAGCTAGCAAGCCAAGTTAGTGGTGGAGAATCTATATGGATGGCTCGTTTCAGGATGGTTTGCAGGAGTCTAACTCGCTCTCGAATAGATTGCGACTATGGGATTCTTTGACCCCTGAAGCAGTCATAGAACATTTAAAGTCCGAGTTCTGCACGTCAATGGAATGCCGTTAAGAACAAATATATCAGGGCTTAAGTTGAGCCTCTTCCTACCATCAAAATGAAGCTCGTTCTCGGCCTCCTCCTCCCTGCCCTGGGCCTATCTTCCTCCGTCATCAAACGTGAAGACAGCTGGGGCGGCAGCGTCTCTCTCGGTCCTACCAAATCCACCATCGTCAATGCAGTCACCACCCTCATCCCCGGTGCGGCGCCTGCGACTCAAAGCGGCGAGCTCTTCCTATGGCCTGGGATGAGCAACGGCACCGGCGATCTCGTCCAGACCACGCTGGAAAGCTGGCCCAGCAATGACTGGTGCGGTGCAACGACGGGACAATGGTGTGTACGGGCCAGTCTCTTCGGTAGCTTTGGCCAGTTGGATGGGGACGCCAGCCCGGTGAGCGGGACTGACCAAGTTCGCATCGAGTATACTTTGTTGGATGATCAGGAGACCTGGGTGCAGTATGTATATCGTACTGATTGCAGGACGTTGGCTAACCGAGATAGGAATGTCACGAATGCGCAGACGGGCAAGGTTCTCTCGACCTTCTCGCACAAGTCTGGGCCTTATATGACTGGGTGAGTTTTTGTTTCCGAAATTAGAGGAGTAATGCTAATCGAGCAGATATGGCACTGGAACTGAGTGTGACGGTGGCTGTACGGGCACTGTTGCAGAGCAAAAGTACCTCAACACGAAGATCACTCTGGCCTCGGCTGATACTACCTTTGGCAACACCATTGCTTCGGCTGCCGGTGCGACGTACTCTGGTCTGAGCTCGAGCGAGGGAGGAAAGGTGTGGACGATTGAAACCATCACCATTCCCGCCATGTCGAGCTCATAGAGTCGACGGTTATAGCTCACCTATCTCGCCTAGTGCACCTCATTCAGCACAAAGTCCATTCTCTTCCTTTCTAGGTAGTATTGAATATCATCAGTTATTGACACTTCCCTTTCAGAGTAGACACTTTTTGGGCAGGCAAGAATGACTGGCTAGAGAGCAAGATAGGTCTATGTATACATTCAAAGATCTATTTCCCAATCGAATATCTATATACAGCCGTGCTGAACAACTCAACCACTGTAATCCACATCAACCACCAATCTCACCGCGCCGGCACTCACACTACCCCCGATACCATCCACAGACGCCTCCGCCGCCGTGTACGCATTCACCACCTTGGCGGCATTAGTCGTGATATACGAGCAATCGCCCCCCTTATGATCACAGATCCTCATCCCCTGCACCGTCAGACCCGCATTCTGCGCCTGGATGGCCGACACATCCCACCCAGACCACTTAGCGTTGCCGGTATTCCCAAAATCAAACTCGCCCCAGGTACAGGCATACCCGCCGTACTCATCCGTCGGCAGCGAGTTGCCCGCAGCGGCACCCCATCCGCCCTGCGAGTTCTCATCAAATGCGACGTACTTGGTCTGGCCAGCCGCAAGGGTGAAATTGAGCGCCGAGTGGCCGTACCACCCGTCCAGCTTACCGTCGGGGCCAATCTTGTTCCAGATCGAGACGAACCAGTTGTTGGTGTTGCTGCCGGTGAATTTCACGACGTACTTGTACTGTGAGGCTGTGGAGGCAGTCACCTCGATGATGTTGCTGCCCCAGGGGCTGCCGACGTTGCCGATGTACTCGATTCCTGAGCCGGAGGAGCTGGTGCGTTGGCCAAAACCAGAGGTCGAGTACACGCCATTGGAAGGGGTGGAGGTCCAGCTGACGCTGTTGCCGGAGCTACTGGTCGCAGCAGACACTGCGGCGCTGCTGGTGCTAGTGCTAAACGTAGTCGCTGTGCTGGTGGTGGCCGAAAGAACATCCAGAAGGTTCACAGCGACGTCGAGGTTGATGCTTGCGAGCGGCTGCCTGTCAGCTGTGGAAGTCTCTGCGGCTGCCACAGTGGTAGTTGGCTTGTGTCGCGTGATAGTAGTGTACATGGTGACGACCTCGAGGTTGACGATAGTCTTGGTGCTGACCGCCGGGTCGTCCTGGGCGTCAACCTCTCTAGCCTTCAATTCTGCATTATGAGCAAGACGGTGACGACGATGAGCATGCTCGTGTGCATGATGCGCTCCAGCCATGGCCGAGCCAGCGGTGATGGCCGTCAAAAAGAATGACTCCCACTTCATGACGAATGGGTAAATCTAGATCTGCTTATAACAAAGGAGTGACTAATAATTGATGGATTCGGCGCAAACAATGAAAGAGTGGCAGTGATGGTGGCCCCGTGGACAAGAGTGTTGAGTGCGATATATGAATGAATGACTGTCGGATGAAGACTCCTGAATCTCGTCAAGTGGGACCAACGCCAAAGAACAAAGATGTGAGCGACTATAGGCGAGGCGTATGGCCAAGAGAGTTATCGTCAGCGCTCGAGAAACCGGACATATTGGACAGACGCTTGTCTAGTCAATTGGTACTCATCAAGAGTCCACTCGGATCAAGCCCTATGGATGGTTGATCTGTCTAGCGAACAGAATCACAGACTATGAAACAGATTGCCCCATCTCATCTCAAGACTAGCAGCGTTCAGACCACTCAGCAGCTGAATTGATATAGCTGCGCCGTTCTGGATTTAGGCTTTGTTGATTGTTGATGGTCATGGAACCAACATACCATCCCTACGCAAGCGGGGCCCCTCCTTGCGTCGTCAACATTCTCAGCCACTCAGAACCAAGACATGAGAAATGGAACAATGAAAAGATCTTGAATCTTCCATGTGGTTACGCAGTAGAATTGATCTGATTCGTGGCTGGTATCTATACAACCGCGTTACCATGTTTTGTCTTGCAGTGGCATCTCCGGGCGTAACCTTATGGCAGGACGGCGGGATTTCCAAGCCGTCAAAAATTTGATCAGAGGCCTAGATGCTATGAATTATATCAGGTTGGCACTGGGCAGAATAACAATCGATAGTGTTGCCCTCATAGTCCTCTTACTCCCTCCACCTATGGCGCCTCTAATGTGCAACTGCGCTTCATATACCACCGTACACCAGCTTTCGACCCATAAGAATATCTTTCTTTTCGGTTTATACTTTTCCTACTCACAAAGTATCGATTGCCACGTCTTAACATACAATAATGGGAATGTGAAATTGTGCCGTTGCTTCAAAAAGGGAAAGGGAGTGGATCCATTCACTTACGTATACAACGGCTCTAATGAACGCCTTCGACCCGCTCACAGCAGCCACTGGCTTGAGGCAAAACTCTAGATCAGGATGACGAATGCTTGGTACTATTGACTATTCTAGTCCATGTTCAGGCAAACACGTTGATGATGTGGGAAATAAATCAGTGTTGAGAAGGGTTGCGCTCGAGATACGTAGGTTCAGTACGCTGGTGAATCAAGTTGGTTTCGAACATAGCCGTAGCATCGCATCATGGACTGTTTTTACGAAGTGACAATCCTTATATGGCTAAAAAAGCAGCATTTCGTACCCGGAGATCAATTATCGGCACTTCATTCCAGGAATAGCCGCTGTGAGTCTGGAGACCCGAGCCAGTGCCCGAAGCCACGTATCAGCATACGTAGGTCTTTCAATCGGATTGCCTTCAACGACTAGATAGCTTACTATGCTAATTTCAGTATCTCATGTTCGAGGCTCCCGTGACCGAAGCCATACGCACCATGTTCTCATACACTGCGTGCTACTAGAACGCTTAAAATAATCAAATAGCTGCGTAGCTTGGTTTCAGTACGGACACTCAAGTGTATTATCTTGGGCCGGATGTTTGATTTTCATAAGGCCACTCTAAGACATTTCAAATGCAGTCGTTCGGCAGACCGTACGTAGCTGTAGCTGACAATGAGCAATACGCCATTAACGAGGTAATCTAATCTAGAAGACTAGCACGACAGTTGCTCATAACATTACGAGTACGGTATCGATCTTGATTCTAGTCGAGAGAAGGATAAATCAGGCTAGCCATCACCCCACAACCACAAGTCAGCCGGTAACTCCTCGCCCTCCAAGCTGTTCGCGTTCAGCTCATCCGTCGCCGAGAGCATATGATTCAAAGATAGTCCAAAATCCCGCCAGTCAAAAAGGAGCTCCTCCTCCTGTGTCGCACTGACTGTAACTGCAGGAGTCGGACCGGGGCCTTCTGCATCCGGACCCATTCCATGTTGCACCTCTTGTGCCACAGAACTTCTTTCATTGATTGACTCAGTGAGAGATATCCCCGGGTCCTCTTCGCGGTGAGGGTTCTCTGGCTGTATAAGTGGTTGCACCAACTCTTCGAGAAGCTCAATCTCCGATCTGCGAAGTTGAGCGACTCGGTTACCCCTGGCGATCATCACGTCTAACAGACTGAAGCCCATATCGCGGTAACTGTGGTCTGGCAGTGTGCCCGGCAAGACGGCAGTGATTAAGGAGAGAATAAAGAAGGACGAGAAGAGGTTCTCAAGGTCGAAGGGGAGAAAACTTTCTGTCTTGCTGTTAGCGTACGCATAGGTCGGGGGCATTGGGACTCACCAAGGAGATTCTGGTCTCGCAGGGCCGTTAGTATCTTCAATGATTTGAGTGCCGAATCGATACACGCTTGGATCAAGGTTCGGACGGGAGAGGATAGACTTCGGAAGACGTCGCCGTCTTCGAAGCAGCTTAGTCGTTCCCAGAGCAAACTTAGGATGAGTGGACGAGCCGTGACAATAATGCACTGTTTCCGTGAGCCAACTGGGTCTCGATCAGAAGGATAACACGCACCGAATGACATGAAAGTGTCAACCGAGTGGTCACACCAGAAAGAGTATCCACTGAACTCGAAAATCGATGAGCGAAAACCTCCTCTAATTCCCGAGACAGGTCGGTCATCTCATGTAAGATGGAGCGAATGCCATGAAGGAAGACGCCGCCCAACTTCCCATTTGCACTGTACACCGCTGTGAACAGCGTCAGCCTGTCCTTACGAACTGGCAGGTCACATACTATTCAGCACCCGCGTGATAACCTGCGTGATCTTGACATGAAGGCTCAAAGCGGCGGTTTCTTGGGAGCAGCTCTTCGGGTCCCACAGGACGGTGGTCACATCCTCATCATTCACCGAGGTCGGCGACCCGATCAATGAAGAGAACTTGCGGTCGAGAATGTATACCGTCCACCAGATCTTAGTACACCGTTCGACGCGCTTCTCACCAAGTTGCTCGACTGGAAGAGCACGATGCAACCCTTCCACCAGAGCCATACGCATGGCGTGACCGATCTGCGCTCGTCAGTTGTCGCCTATCGATTGAAGTGGCAATTCATACATAGCAATAGGCCGAGTCCCGCATATCCACCGAGTGAAGGTACAGTGCAATCAGCGCCAGAACCTCAATAGCTAGCAGCGGATCCTGCCAGAGCGCCGTGGTATCTGGTAACAGTGACATCGCGCGGGAGAAATACTTTGTCCAAGATGAAGTATTCGATGCCCTTCGAACAGGCGCCAACAGTGCCTCTCCGAAGGCCAGCACGACGAGAAACTGCACGTACCACAGCCTGGACTCCTGGACCTTTGCGGATGCATTATGATAGAACTCCTCCAAGTTACGGGTAAAGTCCTCCTCATCAATGAGCTGATACAGATGGCCGAAATGGAAACGGACCGTGTTGAGCATGTAGATCGCTTGATCGCGAGAAGGGAGTCCGCTTATATCCGGGATCTCCTCCGAGCTGGCCTGTCGCCAGTGAATCTGATATGCTTCACCGTCGACAGCCAGAGGGATCGGCTTAGAGCTTGTAGGGTTAAGTCGGGTCTGTATCGTGCTGAGGACCCGACGACTGAACGACCATGTAGAGGTTGGACCGAGAAGTACTGATAGTCGACCATTAGCAAGATACTTACTTCAAGAGGTTAATAGCATACACCAAGCCCGTTGTGTGCGCCCGCTGTTCTTCACGTAGGTGGATGGTGATACCAAGGGATTGGCGGCGAATCGCTCATCATGTCGATTCAACTCCTGTTGCTCAGGCGTAGCGAGTCCGCATGGTTCTGACACTGACTGTGGTGCTTCTTTTAAACAGCTAGACACCGAGTTACTGGCATGACTCTGTAAGACGCGAGGCCGCTTTGACGGGGTCGATGTAAGCGAGCCTTCTAGTTCGCTCACTTTTCTCTTCAGCGAAAGAAACAATCTCAATGTCCGTTAGAACCCGATATCATGCTGGTCTTCTTCGACATACTCTTCAGAAACTACAATCTTCCGATCTTCCTCAAAAACACAGTCTTGCTGCCGATTGCGACACTTGTCACACGGCTGCGTGCCGGAGCATTTGACCTTGCGAGCTCGGCATCGCTGGCATCTGCGGCATTTAGTCGGGGACTCAGTAGGAACGCGGTCGACGTACGCGTTGGAAGTGCGCTTGGAGCGAGCTGACTGGTCCATCCGTTCTCACTCCGTCGGAACAATAGTATAATTGACCGTTGGTATTGCTATTGCCTTTTCTTGATGCTGTTGTTGGCATTTAGTCACCAACCCCGCAGACTGAGAGGGACAGCCGGCATTTGATTGGTCAGTAACTTGTATGCCATCATGGCTGTATCAAGAAGTCGAGTATCTTGGATACCTATCATTCTGACGATAATATGAGGCCGGGAAGATATCTTAGGAAAATTCATTGAAACGGACGTAGAGGACTGCAATATGATCGCAGTGTCGAGTTGTCAATTGACTCAATTCTCACAGTATCATCTCTCAATTCCCCTAGTGACTCCGCTGTCTGAAACAGAATCACCAATTCCAGGCTGAAACAGCAGTTGCTCCATCAAGCTCACCAAGCCCCATTCAGATGCGCCTTGGTACATCAGATAGCTGGCATTGCGTAGTAGCTGTTTCTCCATTATTGGTTGTAAGGTGCTGCTTCGCGCTTCGTACTGACCCAGCGGTTATTGCCTGTCCTTGATTGTTCGGGATGGCGCGACTGACGGTACTACTTCATGCTTGCCCATTTTCGAGTCTATTTATTCTTGGTTTATTCTGGTCAGTGCAGACGAGCTAGTAAAGAGACTCTATGTCTCGACCTCAGGAACGGCTTTTAGCTTCGCATCGCTTAAGCATGTGTTGCACTGTCAGTCCCAGACTAAGGCATGGACGAGGTTTCTGCAGCCATCCAGGGCTAAGTATTTTTCAACAGTCACTCTTTTCATTGAGATGATTACCTCAGAGTGATCAGTCTCGTTACGCTCCTTGTGGAAATCATTATCGCGACCAGGATGGGCCGTCAATGCCAGTGTCACTGGCCTTTATCTTTACGTTGGAGCCTATTATCATTATTACTACTCCCCCTCGGAGCGACCACACTCAATCTCATCGTTACAGATCCAGGTGAGCCCTACAAACGCGCGATTCACCCCGAACGGGCCTAATCGCCCGCAGAAAATATCAAAGAAGTAGCCAGTCAACTAGCCTGGGACCTTGTCAGCTTCTACACGGGCAACAACACCGGTGACGTCCCGGGTAACCTCCCTGCCCCCTACTATTGGTGGGAAGCCGGCGCTTTTTTCGGCGCCCTCGTCAACTACTGGCGATATACCGGCGACGATACCTACAATAACATCACCATGCAGGCTATCTTGCACCAGGCCGGAACAGGTGACTTTATGCCGCCCAACCAGACCCGCACCGAGGGCAACGATGACCAGGCCTTCTGGGCCTTTACCGCACTCATGGCGGCCGAACATAATTTCCCTAACCCGCCCGAAGACTCACCGTCATGGCTGGCCATGGCCCAAGCGGTCTTCAACGAGCAGATCGCGCGCTGGGACGACCAGACCTGTGGAGGTGGACTGAAATGGCAGATCTTTCCCTTCAACAACGGATACACATATCGCAATTCAATCTCCAACGGAGGGCTCTTCAATATTGCAGCGCGACTGGCACGGTACACAGGGGATGCCATGTATGCCGAATGGGCGAACAAGGTCTGGGGCTGGGTCACAGAGACAGGACTGATCGGTCCAGAATATTACGTCTTGGATGGGGCGTACGAGAGCGACAATTGCTCCGCACTCAACCGGGTCGAATGGACGTATAACAATGGTATCTTTCTTCATGGAGCCGCCCATATGTGGAATTATGTATGTCTCCTCGTCAGTTCTCCGAGAGGGAGGAAACAACTGACCCTACCAGACCAAAGGCAACTCGGCATGGAAAGCGCGCATCGACGGTCTCCTCGACGCGCAGAGAATCTTCCTTTCGCCGAACAAGTCATCCGAGAATGTACTTTATGAATACGCCTGCGAGACGATCAACACGTGTCGAACCGACCAGTACTCCTTCAAAGCGTATCTGGGGCGCTGGATGGGGGACGTTGCGCAGTTGGCACCTTGGACTCGCGATACCATTGCGACCAGACTGCGGGCTTCGGCCACGGCAGCAGCTGCACAATGTGTGGGCGGTAAGACGGGAACGTATTGCGGACTGCGATGGACGACGGGCGAGTACGACGGCACGACAGGGGTGGGACAGCAGATGTCGGCGTTAGAGGTGGTTCAGGCGACTCTGCTCGATTCGGTCGCGGGGCCATTGACGAATAGCACGGGTGGAACGAGCAAGGGGAACAGTGCGGTGGGGAGGGGCTCCTCGGACGGAACTGCGGTGCCCGATGATTCTAGTATCGTCACCATGGCTGATCGAGTCGTCGCGTGGGTCGCAACGGGGGGATTGGGGGTGCTGCTGGGGGGATATCTTTATCTTGTTGTGACATGACGCTGGCCGTCGCCAACAGCGATGAAAACCTAATGAATAATGAATGTCAAATGAAACGAAGCATCTCCTCGTGCAGTTGTCCTTCTGTCAATCTGGACAAAACAGGAAATGATTACACTCGTGATGCGCTAACCCCTTTGGGCAAGAGATACGCCGGGGTAGAGATGGCCAATAGGAAGCCGCACGTGACCACATGCCTGAGGGGGCAAGGAATCCGACCACCAATCAGCTGTCTATGACACATCTCATACAACACGAGGGCGTGGGACGGCGTATCTTTCCCCAGAATACCTAGGGAGATATGTCGTACAAAAAGGTATATAAAGACCCTATGGCTCTGGTCAAAAACATGGCAGATCATTCTGTTCTTTTCCCATTTGACGGACAAGCATGACGGCTCTTCATCCCTTTGACCCCATCACTCCCGGGGAAATCCAGTTGGCCGTCAAGATTCTGGAAGCGGCTTTCCCCGGAGTCTCCCTGAGATACAAGAAAATCGATGTCAATGAACCTCTGAAAAGGGAGGTTGTACCGTACATTGAAGCCGAGAGGTTAGGAAAGCCTTTGCCGACAGCACCAACACGGTTGTTGCAGGTTCTGTTCCATCGTTTAGACAATGGAGCATTCTACAAAGCCTTGCTCAATGCGGGGACAAGGTCTGTGGTGTATGCCAAACAGTTGCCCAAAGAGGTTCAGGTATATTCTCTGTCAATTCACGGACTTAATGGAAATGTCTCTGACTCAATCAGGGCCCTGTCGATGCTGACGAACTGATCGAAATCGAGCAACTCTGTCTGAGCCACCCCGCCGTGCAGGCAGAGATTGCCAAAATGCAACTGCCGCAGGGGGTGACTGTTTGCAATGATCCCTGGATCTATGGGACGGATGACCCCAAGGAATCCCGCCGCCTGTTCCAGTGTTACATGTACGTGGTGACCACGGACCATCCGCAAAATAACCACTATTCCGCACCCTGTAAATTCTCGCCCGTGTTCGATGCGCTCACCCGCGAACTTGTCCGGATGGACTATCTCCCGGGTGGCGGGGACGCTCAGGTCGCCGAGACTCAGCCGTGGAAGACGGTGGAGACCATCCAGTACGCGCATGATCTGCTCACAGAACCGCTGCGGACGGATCTGAAGCCATATATCGTGCAGCAGCCCGAGGGTCCATCATTCCATGTAGAGGGAAACCTCGTCTCATGGCAGAAGTGGAAGTTTCGCGTAGGTTTCAACACCCGTGAAGGGTTGGTCATCTACAACACCACTTATGACGGACGCAATGTGTTTTACCGGCTGTCAGTTTCCGAAATGACGGTACCATATGGAGGTATGCATTCAACTTCCATAACTGTGGACCTGAGAAGTAGCTAATAGCATAGATCCACGCGCCCCCTACCACCGCAAGCAGGCGTTTGACGTCGGCGACGTTGGATTTGGCATCACTGCCAACCAGCTCTCCCTTGGCTGCGACTGTCTGGGTCACATCAAGTACTTTGATGGGTACCGCTCCGACTCCAAGGGCAACCCTGTGCAGCTGAAGAATGTTATCTGTTTGCACGAGCAAGATAATGGCCTGCAGCACAAGCACACCAACTACCGCACCGGGGCTGCCACGGTGGTCCGCAACCGCCAGCTAGTAGTACAGATGATCTGCACCGTCTCCAACTACGAGTACATCTTTGCCTTTATTTTCGACCAAGCCGCTAACATCGAGCTGGAGGTGCGCGCGACTGGCATCCTGTCTACTGTGCCGTTTGACAACGAAAAGTTTGGAACGACAGTGCCCTGGGGTACGAACGTCGGGCCTGGCGTTATGGCACCTTTCCACCAGCACATGTTCTCCTTCCGTATCGACCCTGCCCTCGATGGGTTCAAAAACACGGTCTACTACGAAGATAGCGTTCCGATGCCCGAGGACGAGAATAACCCGTATCTGGTGGGCTACACCACAGAACAAACCGTCCTGCGGACCAGCGGCAGCGCCAACACCAGCGTGGAGCGCCACCGGGTGTTTAAGATCCGCAACGACGCCTGCATTAACCCCATCACGTATAAGCCGGTCGCCTATAAGTTGCAGACCTCGCCGAGCCAGATGCTACTGGCCGGGAACAGGTCGTTTGGCTACAAGCGGGCCGAGTTCGCTACCAAGCCGATCTGGGTGACAAAGTATCAGGATGACGAGCTGTATGCGGCTGGCGAATTTACCAATCAGAGCAAGCAGAGTGAGGGTGTGGAGAAGTGGGTGAAGCGCAATGATCCTGTTGAGAATGAGGATCTTGTCCTGTGGCATAGTAAGTCTAATTGACTCCTCGTGGAGGCTTCACTGACAGTCCTAGCTTTTGGCCTTACGCACAATCCTCGGGTAGAGGATTTCCCTGTGATGCCAGTCGAACGGGTCAGTGTCATGCTCAAGCCGGATGGCTTCTTTACCAAGAACCCGGCGCTGGATGTTCCCGCGTCGACTCAGTCATTCAATCGGTCAACACTGCATCCGGAGCCGGCTTCTTGCTGTGCTCCTGCCAAGGTGAAGTTGTAGTGTGATGAATGAAATGAATACTTTTGATGATGTCCATCTTATTATTTACCATACGTAAAGACACCGTGTCTTCATGAATCAATCCGTTATGGATTCGACGAGCGACGAGGCCGCATGTATGCCATCGTACAGAATAATATCCAATAACGATGAACGTAATCTGGGAAGACGGACGCTCCAAGTGTGTTCAATTAGCCTAGTCAATCACCGGCATCGGGGATTGAGGGCAAGATGGCTTTATTCCGCTCGTTAAATATCTATTAGCTTTCTGGTCTCTAGTTATTACAGTCATTCGCCGTTCAAGATCCTCCCGAGTAGAAAAGAAAGAAACATTGGATTAGACAGATATCATCCCTGGGCCAGGTGTATATCAAAATTTTATCCCCGAGTCCCCGGACTCGGCCGACAAGTCAATACAGAGGCATATACACAGAAAGATATAAACAGAATGCCATAGACACCGTTACTGGGCATTAACCCAAGCATGGAGCCCCTGCTGTCTAGAGTCTGGTCGTACCTGAACGAAGACATCGGCGAAGACCTCCTCCTCGAATCACAACTTCTCCTCCTCTCCTTCGCACCGGGCCTGCTGAAGGGGCATAACTGGCCGCGCAATCGACGGGTGCTGTTCCTGGTGATGCTGACGGCGGGATGCTTTGTCGGAGCGTTTACGCAGCGGGCGGTTAATTCGTCCTTTGCGTTATTGTGGTGTGCTGTTGGGAAGGCTTTGGTCACGGTATCGTGGTTGTGGAATAAACGGCTGGAGAAAAGATGTCCATGATTCATTCTACTCCGTAGTCTTAGGTGACGGCGAATTACTAGAAGCGGTATAGCGTGCCTATTCGGGGAAAGCGCGTCGCTGAGGCTTGGCATCGCGGTGCGTGGTCTATATAGTTTCCTCCTTGCCCCCTCGAGATTATGGCCAACTTTCGTTCGCTGTTTTCCACCCTTTCGCGGTCTTGCGACTCAAGGCAATGAGGCATTTCTGCTATTGGGCGGTACATCCTGTGTTCTGCACTTCGCCGCCTCCTTTTGCGCCCATGAGTTGTCTTCGCGCCCGTGGCCTGACTTCCATTGGATTTCGTGAGATTGACGTTTCTGCTTGCTTGGGAGCTCCACTGACCTATGATCCTTCTTTTGATAGATAATGCTGCATGAAAAACCCAGAGATTGCATACGTCCCTGCCTTTTGTACACACCGCCCATCGCTACTACCGATTGAATGGCTCGGTGAGGCCTTCGGATTGGCTCAGGGGAGTTGGCAACGACTCCCCAGAGCCGGAAAGCTGGTCAAACCCGGTCATTTAGAGGAAGTAAAAGTCGTGACAAGGTTTCCGTAGGTGAACCTGCGGCAGTATCATTACCGAGTGAGGGCCCTCTGGGTCCAACCTCCCACCCGTGTCTATCGTACCCTTGTTGCTTCGGCGGGCCCGCCGTTTCGACGGTAGAACTGGTGCTATTAGACTACTCTGGGCGAACCAACATGATTTTTCCCTCCTATAGTTAACGCCTTTTCTCCGCCAGGCAGTTCCCACAGCAAATCATCTTTAGAATTGGACTTCAGAGATCCGAAGACTGCAAGAGATGTTCAGAACCAAACTGCTTGATCCAGGGACTCTGCGAGGATCGTACAAAGTCTCCGCCTAGCCCTATTAGTCAGGCAGTTAATCAATCTATAAAAGCGTGCCATACTACTATGGGAAGGGTTTGCTTTAGAACATGAGGCTAGACAGCCTCAGGAGGCAAACCCCGCCAAAACGAAGACTAAGAAGGTCTATATAGCTTCAGGAGGCATTCTGGCAGCTTCAGAGGGTCAACAGTGCGCCCAGCAAGACCTTGAAGCAATTCAATTAGTGGAACAGGAAGGTGCTGAGACACCACGAAAGCGCGCTGCAGCGACTGCTTCATAATTACGACCATATTAGAACTAGGTACCCATATAGATCTACTACCTATCGAGCGATCTTAAAATGCAAGACACGGGCAATCTAGCAACCATTCCTTCGTTGGGGTTAGTCATCTATTAGTAAGCTATGTCAGACTCCAAAGCCTAAGAAGTAAACTAGTTTGGCTGTGGCCACCTGGTACAACAAGCATCCGTCGACCTGGGCATGGGTATGAACATCACCGGGGTCCAACGGTTTGATGACATACCTGATTCGTTGAGGGAATTGGACGTAAGCATCAAAGTGACCGGAGAGACAACAGCCAGTCATTCCTTTAGTCAAATACTACATCATCCGGACGGCTCCGCACAACATGTATTAGTGGCAGTTCGGTCTTGTTGAGGAAGGAAAAAGACGAAAAGTGGACCCATACGATTAAGAAGCAGAACCACTTAAGGTCAGGTGCGGTGCCGCTGTGATCAACCATACATGTCCCCTCCAGGCCGAAGTAATAGGCCTACCTCAGCAGGCAAAAGCGCCACAGTATCTCGAAAAACCGTATACCGTGGCCTATCAGATAGCTACAAGAATTTATTCTTTGTAGGTCGCCGAAGTGACATGTTAATGCTGCTTAAAAAAGGAAAGCTTGATCACCCCGAGCTCGTCTTACCTGAACCATAATATGATGAAGCTCTTGCCATGGATAGCTGGAAAGTCTGGACTGGTGGTGGTCATTATTCCTGTTGTTCGATATCGTCGCTGCGAGATGCGGGTGATCCATACCACGTTCCTCAACATCGGGGGAGAGTAAGTCATTGCCTCTGCTGTTATTGTACAGTTCTAGAATGGCTTAATTGTGTGATCTATTGCTCTCGAGCTCCTAGCTAGGTGTCATGGCCAATGCCTCTTACCCTTGGCTCCTGCCTATGATAGACTAGGCTCTCCAAAGTAGGAGCAATGCCCGGCCAGGGATGTCAATATATGCAATTCCTTCAGATATACTTTGACATATCAGTGAATGAAGTACCTAATATCCCGTTAGAGAATCCTGTGAGCTGAAATAGTTCTCAATACTGCTCGGATGCATACATATACGATTTGTCACCTGCTTTAAGCACATACAGGGTGTGGAAACAGGGCTTCTCATCCACTCCACGGTTCTCAAGCCACAATTATCAACGCAGTCAGAGGTTATATGAACCCTTTCAGACTTGCCATTCGGCCATGGAGCTACAAGCCTTGGGAGGAGGATTCGAAAACATCTTTCTCACGCGAGGTTGCAGAAATGGAGGCAATCGAAAAGCACGCCGCCTACTAATTAAAACTTAAATTCAATTCCAATGCATGATGCATCTATGAACTTTATAGTATTCGTGTGATTTCCAGACCTAATACAACTTCAACTTCCATATTGCTGAAGCTGTGATGACTATTCTCTTCGTGTCTCTGGATACTTGTACATTCTTGCGCAATACAAAGCGAATCCTAATGGTATTACAAGGTGCTGAAATTTCAGCGTCTAACCTTCCGCGAATATCAGACCGTCCAATGATATTTCGCTCCGCTCTGGAGTGTGCCAGGTGTCAAAGCTATTCAGAATACTTTACGCTAGTACATGGACAAAAGCAAAGTCCAACCCATACCTAATCATACTCATGATCGGTCCATTCGTCATCCGTGTCCCTCTCCCAAAGATCATCCTCGTTGTTCTGCGGCTGCTTCACCGTGGTTGCGTTTTCGATCAACTCATCAATCCCCTCAATGTATATCAATCGTGGCAATTTCTTGTCCTTCTCGGCAAGCAGATTCTCCAGCTGCCTATCAAATACATCGTCCGGAAGGCCCTTAACCTGCGGTTTCATACCCTTCTCGTACCCATAAATACAGAGTGATTCAAGACTTGGTGGGAGATGATCCACGATTGAAAATAATGCATCCTCCACTTGGTCGGAGCCAATTCCTCGAGCCAAGTAGTAGAGGAGGTGGATGCCGAGGCTTAGATTCTTCAGTTCAGTAAACCCACGAAGAGAGCACGGTGATAATCGACATCTGACTGGGTCATCCTTTGCTTTGAGCTCCTGGAGTTCTTCTGCCCACTCCTGTTGATAAACGGGGTGAGATCTGGAAGATGGGCCGTCACTGGCAAAGAAAACTTGTCCTAGGCTGGGGTCGAAGGTCTCAGCCAATGGTGTTTCTGCCTCCACATCCAAATCCAGATGCAGCAACGAATGACCGTGCAGGAGGAGGGCCCGAAGGACATGATCTGGGCTGAATATACTCAATGAGCCATCGCTTGAGCCTCGGCCACCGACCGCATAGGTAAACTCTTCCAGCCGTTTAGCTGACTCGATGACCTGCACCAGATGATGGTAATCCAAACTGGAGTTTCGAATGGTAATTTTGGTATAATTCGCTGACTGGGGTGGGGGCTCCACACTAGCACTCTCCGTGCCCATAATGGCGTCGACCCGGATGGATTCCACTCCGGGCAGCCGGCGCACCAAGTTCAGGCTACCGTATAAGTCATAGGGCTGGTAATAGAACCAGCGATAGATACTTGTATCAGCATCGACAAGGAACCGAACCTTGCGAAGAGATTGTAGAAATGGCATAGTCTCCTGCGGGCAACTATTCGCACGGTCTAGGAAATGCTTAAAGAAATAATCCGTCTCTTGGAGTGGAGTACCATTGGCTTGAGCAGTCAGTTTCGACAGCCTCGAAGGTTCTTTGCCGACAGGGCAGAAATTCAGTGACTCCAACAGTGGCGAGACGCTGACCAACAACGCTGCCAACGCCTGGGCGAGAAACGGGGTTCGCGGGTCATGATGGCTAGTCAAAGTCAGGCTCAGGCGTTCTAGAAGTCACCTGCTCTGAGGACATAAAAGCCGCATCATGAGACAGTAGAAGGATAAATAAGGGTGCAGGAAGGGGGGAGTCATACTCCATGCTGGCCGGATTTTGGAGTAGGATGTTAAGCATCTTTTCCTTTTCTTGTGGAGACTCAAAACCGGCCCGCCGAATAGCCGCAGTCAAGCACTCCTGGTCTTTTGGCCGGAGGGACCGCTGAGGGGGCTTCACTGTGTATAACTGCACGATTCCATAACCTACTGATGGGGATCGGTTCAGCTCTATATGGCGAACGTATCGCCCATATTGAGGGGTTTTTAGAATCGACCGGAGGATTTTGAAGGCCACAGCCAAATCTAAGGTCTCTCGAAGCTTTACTCGGCGGTATTTGCGCCGAGTGGTCATGTCACAAAGACGATGCCAACGGTGGCATTGTAGAGAGAGCGCCGCTGCATCTGCATGTGATGGAAGGTAAGAAAGGATGTGCAGGAGAACCTCGTCTGGGAGGCAGTGGACAGACATTCTGATAGAAAAAAGTGTTCCACTGTCTTGCTTGCTTGGCCGCAGGCACACAGGTCAGTCTTAGGGCACGCCCCGGGCCCTGCCTGGGTCGCCGCAAACCTCAGGATACAGGTACCACAGTGACGCAGAGGCTCTCTGGCCTTAGGCTTTTTTGGCCTTAGCTAAGCACGTGACCTAAGTGTATATATATGTGGGCCCCTAACCGCTGCCACAATAGGGGATAAGACTGCGGGCAGTCTGATCAAGATTGAGCAAGAAGAAATTGGAGTCTCCGAGCATATTGAGGAACGACATCTCAGGAATGAAGAGAAAAGCCTCTTATATTTTTTTCCCCCCTTGTCCTTAATGGTCTGCTTCTGCTTGTTGAAATCATGGTGTATGCGCCAGGCTCATCTCACAAGGAATATATGTGAACTGCGCTAGGACAAAATAAGGAATGGTCGACCAGGTCTCATAAAGCGGCGATTCACAGCGTGGAAAGGCCACAGTTTCTGGCGCAAAAGCCACGCACAATCGTGTGCTTTCCGTCGTCACCCAGACTTACTCCGTATGCATATAGTAGAATAGAGTCGGAATGGCTGCTTATTATTCGCTTGGCTCATTGCTTATTTTACTGGATAGAGTGATGTTAATATTACCCCAGTTTAATCCTCAAGGTCCTCAGATCAGCATGCAAGCATTACTTTATTCTAACGTCTTCTCTATCATATTCATCCGAATCAATCTATAGAAATGATTTTACCTCTCGTCGTTACAGAAATGCAGAGAATGCGGTATCGGGGTCTCGGGAACCATCAATCGGCGAACTCGCTCTGATCTCTTCTGGCTCCTTCTGTTTCTCTAAAATGATTTGATTATGACTAATGTCACCCACTTTATGCCGAGTGGAGAGTAAGGTATTTATTTATTTATTACTGTAATTCTACCCCTCCACGTTGACATCAACCAGCCTCAATCCTAAACATACAAGCCACGTCCTTCTACCTCCTCTACAAAATGTGCATGCCATCCAAGTGCAACAACTGCCGTACGTCTACATTCCATCTGTCGCAGAGACTTACTAATAACAAATAGAGAAAAAAACCTGGTGGGGTTGCGGAAGTCATATCCCCTCCGTCATGGACCAGGTGCCCGAATCCGATCGCTGCACCTGCACTCCCAAGGTCAACGCCGATGGCAAGGAGTACCCTCCCAAGGGTGCCGGTCCTGCCTGACTAGCCGGTGCAAAGTGCGTGGTACAGTAGGAAAAAGACTAAGGGGTTATGAAGAATGTGATTGTTATATGGATGTTTTGTTTATCTACATCATAGAACATGTGCCGTTTCCTTTTTAGGTTCGCTTCAAAAGAACTACTGCTCAACCCGGTCCTTGTAGCATCCCGTTCCACCGGTGTGCGTGTGAGGAGCCCTCTTCTTGGCTGCCTGCAGCTGCGACCGCTTGACCACGGTGCTCATATTGCGCGGCGGGATCGACTCGAGGCTGTTGGCATATGTGGCCACCGCAAAGGCCGTCGCCTTGGAGTTGATCAGGAAGGCCTCGCGGTTGAGGTTGGTCATGTTGTCGCCCTTGGCATGGTAGTTGGCGTCCAGAGCTACGCCGGCCTGGCCGCCAAACAGCTTGGCCTGTTCCTCGGTCTTGATCGCCTCCGCGCCGGTGAAGATGCCTCCCGCGGGGATGCCGTTGAGAATAAAGGCCTCGTAGTCGGAGCGGCCGTTGAACTCGGTGGGCACGAACGGCTTGCGGATCGACTTGTAGTAGTCCTCGAAGAGACGCTCGATCTGCGCCGAGCCCGCGGGCCCGGTCAGGTTGAAGGCGGATCCGTCGCCGTCGTAGATCATCAGGGCGTAGTTGGGGGAAGCGATCATGTCGAAGTTGAGGTAGAGACGGATCTTGGCCTTCTCGGTAGCATTGAGGCTGTTGACGTAGTAGTTGCTGCCCAGCAGGCCGAACTCCTCCGCCGTCCAGAAGCAGAAGCGCACCGCGTTCTTGACGGAGAAGCGGGTCAGCGCCTTGGCGACAACGAGGTTGCTGATGATGCCGGAGCCGTCGTCGTTGATACCGGGACCGGCCTCGACCGAGTCCGTGTGGCCGCCGAGCGCGACGACGTTGTTGGGATCGCCGCCCTTGGTCTGCGCGATCACGTTGTAGGTGGTCCGGTTCTCGACCTGGCTGTTGATCCACAGGTTGGCTGTGACGGGACCCGCCTGGGTCAGCTGGATTAGCGCCTGTCCATCAGCGAGGCTGATGCCGGCGATGGGAGCGTAGGGACCCATCTCGTTGGTCGGGCCGCCCAGAGTCCCCGCCATAGAACCCTCGATATTGTTGTACACGAGCGCAGCCGCCGCACCGGCCTTGGCGCTCAATACGGACTTGGTCGCAAAGGGGCACTCGCCCCGCTTGACCAGAGCAATCTTGCCCTTCAGATCGGTGGGATAGTCAGACTCAACGCAGCCCAGGTTGTTCACCACCGCCAGCGGAGCAGTGGCGTTCACGCTGGGGCTGTAAGTCATGGTCGTGGCGACATAGGACTTGCCATCAACGGTGAGAGACTGGTCGGCTCTGGTCCATTGGTGAACCTGAGGCTGCTTGTAGACGTCGTAGTAGCCGGTTTTCTTCAACTCGCGGTAGAGGTAGTTGACGGTGTCGTCATGGGCCCGTCCGCCAAAGACACGGTTGCGCTCTGGGTAGGCATAAGCGAAGTCTTCCAGCTTTTGAGCGCCATGCATAAGATCCCACAAATTGATCATATGAGGCAGGACTTTCTATAATGACAGGATGTTTCAGCATTCAGCAACAAGACAAGCGAGAGGAACACTAACCGGATGGACTGGGGGCTTCCAGTCCCATCCCTGGCCATTGGCCACGGCCAGAGAGGCAAACGACGTGAGGTAGAGCAGCTTCATGGTGTGGCTCTAAGAATAAATTGCCGACTATCTCACAGCTCGGGGCTGTAAGAGATTAGAATGCTACAGCTGGAGAGAAGAGTGAATAGTGATCAACATTCCGATCGTCGCCTGCCTTTTATACATCCCCAGCATGCCATCGCTACTGCCCTCGCTACTGCCAATCGCGGCTGTAATCCCGCCACTGTCAACGATTCCCCGCGTCGCCATCGCAGCAACTATTCACGGAATGGCACCTCATCCCGCCTGGAGTTGCATCCAAGCAGGAAAAGACGTCTTGGCAGAAGGACTGAGTCGAGGGCCAAGAAGATAGTATGACTTGGCAGAGATAAGGGTCGGGGTAATAGTACGGAAGAATAGTACGGAAGAATCGTGCTCTTTGGCAACTGCAGCTTCAGTCCGATGATAAACGGCATTATCCAGGCTTGTATCTGTCGGTGGCTGCAATTGCCAAGATAAAGATGAGGCCATATATTGCATTCCCTCGTGTTAATCAATCGAGGCCATGTGCCATATTACCTGCATAGACTACAGTCTAGAGTCCAACAGTACTTTAGGCCTGTATACCTAACCAGCACTATTCCGGAATCTGCTTAGATGCTTATCTTATGACCATTCTATTCCGTACTTGTCCACGCCATGCCTCATCTGCAGAGTCCGCCACCCCCGCCACCCGGCGCTCTCCGTTGGAATTCCGGTTCCCAAGACATAGAAGCTTGGCATTGTCTACAATCTACTGAAGAATCTGAAGGAGCCCGGAATATGTGTATTCCTCCTTGCTCCATCATCGCGTTGACAGTCTGCGATCAACATTTGGCAGTCTCAGTAGCCATAGATGATGTCAAAACTAAACAATTATAACGCAACTTGATTTAAGTCTATATAATCTACTACATCAGTACATAACGGTGAGAATCCTTTGGTTTATCGTTACGGGGCTATCTACAATGTGTTCATAGCTATTATATATAACTTATGCATATGTCTGAAGATACCTCCACTATTAATCCACAAGGTTACATAATTACATAAGAGATTCCGACAAGTGATGAAAATCTACTATGATTCATTTGACTAAAACGTTTGATCCTGCGCGCATTACTTCGAAATAGCAAATCTGACGAGATCCCAGTGAGGCTGTGGACGAAGTAAGAATAGCCGAGGCTGATGTGGCGGAAGCTGAAGATATTATTATTGATCGGCTTCTCCAGCTGAAAATAGAGAAGCCTGCGCCTAGGGAGCATTCGCCTAGATGGCCTATACCTTTACTACCTTCTCTGCATCTAGTATGGCAGGTGCATGCGTGTAAGTCATGGCTGGAGGCAGAGTAGTATTATGTTTTTCCCTCTGATTTCGGATGCGCGCGCCGCGTGTAGGTAGGTTTCTCGCAGACTTTTGGTTGAATCCCTCCGAATTTCATCCTTGTGACATTATCTATTGATCAGGCCATATAATCTAATACTTACCAATCATCTTGGATATACTTAGGTTGAAGATCAGATGAGTCGCGGTTGAAGAGAAAGAAAATATTTTGCTGTGGTGGGCGGCGTTTGACAAAGTGGGTAAACGACTGGAATAATCGCTAAATGCTGACTGCATCTTCAGTGGAACTGTTTATGTTTACAGCTGAGATGAGACGAACATGACGAGGCTGATTGAACTGGCCAGATGAACTGCGCTGGGCCCATTGCGAACGCTGCAATCATCCAGACTAATTTACTGGTCTGCTGCTTCCTCCAATCATTCACCAAACCAGTCTCAATAGCGCATCCCCCAAGGAAAAAGCAAAACCACACCCAATGATTGTATCAAATTATCCTCATCAGCCCCAGCACTGGCCTCTGGGCAGCCAGTCTGAGGTGATGATAGCTGGACTCAAATTGGAGGAATCACAAAGTCAATGCCGCAAACGACCTCCTTTCGTCATTGCGATTGGATGACGTCTTCAGCTGATGGCTCACCAGACTCAGACAAAGATGGCAATGCGCTCCGTCCGCGGGTTGGATGTTATTATGATATAAGCCCTGCTGCAGTCTCGAGATGAAAGATTGATCGCTGATATATTTCGGTCTGGCCTCTTTAGCCATTTATTGTAATACACCGCTACCATGTCTGGACAGTCTGGTGCCAAGCGCTACCCTCCAAAGCGACTCATTGTGTGCTGTGATGGTAGACATCTTCAAATCTCCTCTTAAAGCGCATGCTAACCAACTAGGCACATGGCAGGATTCGCTAGCCGACAAAGCTCAGCCGCCGTCAAACCTCACTCGCTTTAGCAGAGCACTGAGCCGCCTCGCTATTGTCGACGGTGAGGACGGCCAACAACACGAGATCCCTCAGATCCTCTACTACCAGAAGGGCGTGGGAACCAGTTTTGGAGACAAATACTGGGGCGGTCTGCAGTCTCCCCCTACAAGTGAATTGCTACTGACTTGACCAGGCGTGGCCGGGCTGGGCGTCAGCGCCAACGTACGAGCTGCCTACGGCTTCCTGGCCGACAACTACACCGACGGCGACAAGATTTATTTCTTTGGCTTTTCGCGCGGCGCGTACACGGCGCGCGCCGTCGCCGGGCTCGTCTGCAAATGGGGTCTGCTGACCCCGCGCGGCATGGACAACTTTGCGATTGTGTATGATGATTTCTACAACCACAAAATTGATGGATACAATGCGGAGCAGCGCAAACGGATGGGGTTCCGCGACCCCCTGCCGCGGTTCACGGTAGAGATCATCGGAGTGTGGGATACGGTTGGGTTCCAGAAGGCGTGGCTGGGCGAGGACTCGGGAGAGAAGCTGGAGCTGCGCAATACAATACTGCAGGACAATGTGCGCTGTGCGTACCATGCGCTGTCGCTGGACGAGGAGCGCACGGCGTTTCAGCCCATAGTGTGGCATATCCCGCACAAGAACGAGGGGCAGGAGATGCTCCAGGTGTGGTTTTCGGGTGTGCATACAGATGTCGGCGGTGGAGACGAGAATCCCCGGCTGTCGAACATCACTCTGGCCTGGATGATTGCGCAGTGCATGAAGCATAGGCAGCTGAGCTTTGACATTGAAGAGTATCTGTTCGATGATCCCCCGCAACCAGAGGAAAGCGAGATGGCTCCTTGGGCGACGAGCCAGGGGAAACTCGATCACAGCAGTATAGTACGAACCTTACAGGGTAAGCTGGGAGGAAGATCAACTCGCAAACCGATGGGGTATAACCCGGCGGGTCAGGAGTCTGATATCACGAATGAGTTCATTCATGAGTCTGTGCGAGATCGCAATCTCGCCAAATGGCCTTGCGCCGCGCTCAAGGGACGCCACGATGAAAAGAGCTGGAATCTGACGTCTGGCAAGCAGATCTCCGAGGTTCCCGCGTTGCAGATGGAAAAGTATATGAAGGGTCGCATTCGGACGGTGCATGTCACTGAGGAGGATTAATTACAGCTTTGGTTTCCGGCGTTGGAATATTTCGGTTTATTTGATGGATGCTTGTTGGATACGTATATTGTGAACAATGGTATACAGCCTCTAGGGGCCAATAATGTTATAATTGCCGGTAATGACATGTCACAATAGTTGTCCCTTGCAGAAATATGCACCGAAGCAGTTATACACATTCCGTTGATGGTGCAAATCTGAGCAGCCGACTCTTCATCCCTTGCATACAGTTTCTGTCAGGACACGGAACAGAAGATAACAAAACGCGACCCCCTCGCTCTGGAACCTGCATCTTCGAGCGACCAGCACATTCTATCACGATTAACGAGCAAAAGACATCTCTATCTACAACATGGACTACACGCGCCTCAGGAGAGATGAACATGAGGAGTTCGTCTACGACAAAACGACACCACCAACCCAACCATCACAATCGAGTCGTTATCGCTCCAACGCGACCCTTCTCTCCAGCCTGGCGCTGACTATCTCCGTAATCACCGGTATCTTCACCTTGATAGCGTATACAAACGGCCCACGCGATCCCACACCCCAATCACCAGACTCCCTCTTCCGCTGCGGCACATCCGCTGCCGAAGCCAGAGCAGCAGGCTGCCATTTCGACCTAATGTCCTTCTCCTGGCTGCCGTCCGTCTGCTACAACGAGGACCTGACGAACGACTTCCTCAACTACACAGACTGGAAATGGTCGCTCGACATCGAGGGGCGCCAGCTCGTCCCGAAGGAGTATGTCCAGCAGGGGGACTTTGAGTACCTCTTCACGAGCTACGAGTATCACGTCGTGCACTGCGTGTTTATGTGGAAGAAGACGCATCAGGCGATTTTGGACGGCAGTTTCGATCACCTTGATGGGTATATTGCGGGGCTGGGGCATACAGGGCATTGTGGGGAGATGTTGCTTGATCGGGGGACAGACTTAAAGGCCTGGGGAACGCCGGGTTGGACAAAGTTCCCGGCTTGTGGGAGGGGAGTGCTCAACTTGGAGAATGGGTGGTATCGGATCCATAACGGGGAGAAGGCCTGGGGGATGCCGGGTGCTGGGGGGCATCATCATGACTGATCTTAGACAGTAGTTGGCGCAATTTCATTGCTTGGGATAGTCAGGATATACAGTAAATGTGGTGATTGACTGTAATGAAACGAGACAGAGACAAGACTATGCAAAACCATTCGTAGTAGGCGCAGGCATGGTGACTACCACCTTCAGGGCGCCATGTTTGGAGGATGCCTCGAACGCTTCGTAGGCGTCGTGAATATCATCAAATGTAAACTCTGGACAATGATTAGCGTGAACACAGTAACGGAAAGGACAGACGCACTGTGCGAGACCAAAAAATGAGGATCGATGCCGCCGGTCTCCACCATGTTCAAAATATCAGGGGTGCTGACAGCATCAACCAGCCGAGTCCTCAAGCCTAGGAGAATGTCAGTGCTGGTTATTATAGACTAGGCATACCCATACAAATATTGCGATGCCACAACTTCTCCAAGTGAAGCTCGCACGACTCCCCAAAGACACCCAAACTGGCGATGGTCCCTCCAGCGCCGACCAGCGC